ATTTATTATTGTAATATTTGTTCACAGACCTTAGAGGAATTATTTTTTATATGTTGGTGTTACAATAAAGAATTCTCAAGCGGCCAATCGGTGTTTTGGTTTTTGCGTCCGTTATTACTAAGCGTTTCTGGAAAACTTCAAGGAACAACGTGAGCCCGAGTGTGGCAAGAGCTGGACATTAACGGTTTACGAAAGTTTGGATAGTCGCCGTTCATCTTTCCTGGTGCCGGTCAAGTCCTCTTTGAACAAGCAATATCTGGAACTTTTTTGGAATTGGTTCAAGTTCATCAATGCCTGGGTGAAAGAAGGGACAGAGTGTCTTGGATGCAAACAGGAAAGTAAGCCATGGTGACTTGTCTGTTACTTGTAACGATGTGTCTGATGTTAAGCATGACATGGCTGATGTTACTGTTTCGCCGTTCAGGGATAATAGGAACATCAAACTCACTAAATTTGAACCACGGTGTTTTGATGGAAACCCGGCTGATTATTTACAATTTGTAAAGGAGTTTGAGATCATGCTGAGTAGTTTTTTATTAAGTGATGAATTGAAGTTAATGTATTTGATGAGGTATTGCACTGGAGATGCTGCAAGAGCTATACAGTGCTGTAAGTTTATGCCGCCTAAAGAGGGCTACGCTGAGGCTATGAGCATATTACGTCAAAGGTTTGGAAGACCTTCAATGATTGTAAGGAACGTATACGAAGCTGTCAAAGGTAACGGCAGTCAACTTCAAGATGACTCCAAGGCACTTACTGAGTTTTTAGATAATCTTATGACTTATAAGAATACCTTGATTTCTATGAATTGCATGAGTGACCTCAACTCGAGTTTTATACTAGAAGTAATAGCAAGACGCCTACCTACTCGACTGCAAAGGAAGTGGGTGAAGATAAGCTCCCGTATGGAGGATGAGGGTATCGAGCCAAAATTTGATGATATCCTGAAACTGGTAAAAGATAGTGTCAATCAACCGATGAGCAAGTTTGCCAGTATATTGAATCTCACCCCTAGAATAGAGCAGTCCGAGGGTAAAATTCAATCATTGATGACGAAAGGGTCTCAGAGAGGTGGATATCGAGAAGGCTCCATGATGTATAGTAATGCATGTAGACCTAGTGAGTGTAACAGGTTTCGTAGTACATCCTCAACAGATAAGTTACAAGATGCAAGACAAACACGGTTGTGTTTTACACGTTTGCAAGAGGTGCATACAAAGGTGAACTGTGAACCAGTGAGCAAGTTCAGTGATAAGCTAAATGTAAAATCCAGGTCTGACTCCGAATTGTGTGACGATAACGGTGCGGTCAAGAAGTCTGTAGTTGCAACTGGTGAGCCATTGTTGAATAGAGTGTCACAGAATAGAGTTATTGCTTCATAGTTCAGTTCTGACTCCACAAGTTAACAAGGTATTACTAGTCAGAGTGAAGGTATAAAATCCTTAGGGATTTGTGAGGAGGAACCCAAATCATCCACTGCTGTTATTAAAGAGTTCGAAAATGATGAATTCGACCAATAGATGATGGTAAATTGAATAATTGTGATAATGATCATGATAGTGCAGATTTGTCTTTGAATGATCATGATGAAATGGGGGGAATGCCTACTACTGCTAAGTTAAATAAAGGTTCTGTGCAACTACAACGTAAAGTAGAATTGAACGCAGATGCAGTTACAGAAGGTGTGCATACTTGTGAGACCGTCAGTGTAATTGATCAGCGTGTAGCCCACCTATCATCAGATGATAGTGCTAAACCCGAACTAGTAGTGAAAGACAGCAGTGGTGGTAGTCTTGCAGTTAGACAAATTTCTGAAAGCCGAACAACAACAGCTTCTGATCCACCGCTAAGTTCATCAACTGGTATCAATCAGTCGTCGTTGGTGTTGTCATCCACAATGAAACAGACGCCCATCAACTCAAGTATCTTGTGCAATGACTATGATAGTATCAGTTCGTTTGAAAGGACGAATATCAATGGTCAGTTTAGTGAGGATAAGCCAAGTGTAAACGAGAGAGTAATTGTTAAATTGACTTGCACGAATAAAGGCATTTCTAGTTTCAAGTTACTATTTGAATGTTATTATCTTTGGTGTAAATTACTCTGTTTCTACACTTGGTTGATGAGATATGTCGTGTGTTTGTTCGTCATCTATATTCTACGATACAATGACATGAGCGTGTTACCCTTCAGATTTGAGGATATAGCTGATAGAAGGAAGTCAGCAAATGAACTCTGCGACGATTTTCCAACCTAGGGCGTCAACCTGAGAAGGGTTATAGGCGTACTGCTGTAAGTCCTACAATTCTTCAAAGGGTAGCGCATCAATGAGCAGTCCAATGTGCTTGGTGTGTGATTTTGTACATATGTTCATATTGTATATACTGAATTGATATCATCTGTCATCTAGCTGTTAGTAATTGTGATTGTGTCCGGACGACTTCCACTTGTATCATCAACCTGAGAAGGAATGTAGGCGTACTGCTGTAAGTCCTACAGTTCTCCAAGGGTAGTTCGTCAAGGCAGAATCCACAACATTTGATGTGTTGATTGTACATATGTTTGTGTTAAATAATTGTGTGAGTTCCAATTATTGTAATTGTTGGTTAATCTTGTTTGTGTCCGGACATTCCACAACTTACAATCGTCAACCTGTGAAGGGTTGTAGGCGTACTGGTGTAAGTCCTGCAATTCTTCAAAGGAATTCCACCAAGACATGATCCGCGAGGTTATTTGTACTGTTTGTATATATGTGTGGTGTGTCATATCAGTTGGTTTTTTTTCGGATTCATTGTGTTTACCCGTTGTTTTCATACCTTGTTGTTATTGCGTAATTTTTTCAATTTTTCGTCGTACGTACTTCTGAAGTTGTTTCTAGTCTTCCACACCCGTGGATGAATTGATTGATGTTAGAGACAGCAGATTGGTCGTATACGCCAGGGAGGTTAGTGCTGAGAATGACATGCACACGGAGATAAGGGTTAGCCGTGGTCCCACACGTCAGGAGCGAGAGTGTAGACGACTGAGGCTTGCGTACGTCACCGTTACCGGAATTGAGGCAGAATGAGTGACAAGAGATTGCAGTGGTAATTGGTAGTGCATAGATAATGGGATGTGCGAAGACTATCATGAGGTGTTGTGATGGTCACGTTGCGTTCTGCAAGAGTCATTCTAGCAAGTGGCGATTGCGTTGCAAGACGTCAAGAGGATGCCTTTAACTGAAAGGTGTAGGTCGTCGTCGATGTTGAGATTGTGCTGTGGGTATGTATGTGGTGTGTCGGCTTTTCTGTTTGTTTTCCATTTCAGCTTTGTCCGTGTGACCCAGGTTCTCACAATGGCATCCAAGTCAACGTGTATTGGTCGTGATGGAAGAAAGGGATGGATCCCTTTTTTGCCGGGGAGTGTCAATGTAGTTGAAGATTGAACGATCAATTCTTGGTTGTTTGCTCAAACTCAACTGTATTTTTTACGGGAGTCATCGTTTCATCTTTCGCTGTTCTTTAGAGGATAGAGAAAATTTATCAGATGTATTATTGTGATTTATTTTTGTCATTTATTCTTAGATTTTGTGTGCGATAGCCGAATTTTTGCTGTGTAATGGTGCAAGAAGAAAGGCTTCTTGATTCACCAATTTGTTTCGTGGCTTTTTGCGTTGTTTATTAAACATAGTTGCTGAAAGTCTTCCAGGGACAGTGTGAAGTCCAGCTTAGTTAGTGATGGACATTTACAAGCCATCAGGAAATCATACTGCCATCCACTCGGTGTAAAATATTTAGTCGTATCCTCCTAGGAAGCCTAGAAGTTGATTTGGATGCAAAATTCCACTCGCAACGATCTGGATTCAGGAAAAGTGTATCATGTGCGAACCAAATCGTGAAGTTACGCACACTCAATGAACCTGGAATATCGTGAAAGTCAGATTTCTTCAGATTCATCGACTTTAAGGAAGACTTTAACAGTATTTACTGATAGATTATTTGGAAATCGCTTCGGCAATATTGAGTGCTACAACCACTTATAAATTACACTCAACTGTTAAGAACATCAATCCTCAGAAGGAACTTGACGAAGTCTTTGGAGTTTGGACAGAATCGAGACAAAGTTTTCACTTTTATGGTGAGCTGGGTTATTTGGAAGATGGTATAGGGTGGAAGGACTGAGGTATAATATAAATGCAGAAGACTCTAATAGATCTGAACTTCATCGGTGATATATGCTTCACTTTGTACAAACTCGATGATTTACAAGGAAAAATCAACAGTTGATTGAAGCTGTTACAATGACAGGATTTAAGATGAAAATAAAGGAGGTAGAAGTGAAGAAACCCAACCGGCAACAAACACCAGCCACCATCGGTGGTAGAACTAGTAGGATGCATTCATAAAACGTCGAATCAAGCAAGATGAGGAATCCAAGATAGTCGTTCATCACCATAAAGGTAGATTAGGGATTTACAGTACTTAGCCTTAGTAATAAGGCCTGAGTCGCTAATACCCGGGTAGCAGCTGTCTTTACTCTGTACCAAAGATCAGCCGGCCGGTCAAAAGAGTTTAACAACACGGAACCAAGGCGGGCATATAGTTTCGGGGATAACTGGTACAGAGATGTGACACTGAGTCTTGGTGTCCCATTGGGCATGGAATGAATGATGTTAGTCTACAGTCGTTTCACTGTCCTGTGTTAACCAATATATCGTGACTCCTAGAGCTCACCAGAGCAACTGCTAGTGGACGAGTAAACACACTCTGTAGGCAAAGGCATGAACAGAAAACCGTTTTGTGACAATAACAGTTGAGTCTATAGCAACCGAACTATATACCCCAAGTAGCAACAAGTGTATATCCAATATCTAGTGTGCCTTTTACAGGTTTGTATAAAACAAGACAGTTTCTCTGAATTTGCTTCTTGGTAGTGATATAACCGTATCTGATCTTCGGCGAGCTTCTGCGACTCACCTGCGTAGTTTTGTAAACTCCATGAGTTGTATACTGCAACGTTTTTCAGCACTAGAAATATGTTAAAAATGACATGAAATCTTTTATTTACAGCAAATAAAGACTAAGACCCCTTTTGTCCTTCTAAAAGTTTCGTCTATTTTTTGTTTTGTTGCTTACATCAACAGGCGGTTGTTATGTCATAAATGCAACTAAGAGTGAAGCCTCTTACGCGTGCGGAAAAGGTGGTACAGGTAGGTACTGAGTCTGGTTTGTTCTCACTTTATTGTAGGTCGATGATGGGGCCTACGTGTCAGACTTACTGGCTGCAGTTAAATGTGCCTTTGATATCGATCCTGAGTACCAACGTTTGGTGTATAAAGGATGCCCTCTCTTAGGTAAAATGTGTTTGAGTTGTAATCGTAGATTCAGATAAAAATAAGCTTCTTCTTAACTACGAAATTAAGGACGGTGATAGGCTTACATTATTGACGAAGAACACAATACAGCGAAGTGATTTCGAGTCCTTACTTCGGAAATATATAGCCGAAAAGCTTCCTGATTCAAATGCAGATGAAGTGGTGTCGAAATTTTTCCAGGTTAGGCCGCTGAATTCATTTTCACCCAAAGTGGAAAACTTTGTAAATGGATTGTTTACGTGCCTTTAAACCTCGTTTTCCCTATTTGACCGTTAGACTTCTAGAAGTAAATTTATACGCTTTGTATAATTGTGAAAACTGAACACAATGACAGCTAGTGAATTATTTAGTGGTCTTAGCTGGATAACTTTCTGAACACTATTTATTACTGTTAGTCACACTATGGTTTATCACTCTTTACAATTTTCTTGTGTATTGGCTAATCAGAGGAAGCAGCAGCAATGTATATAGGTGGAGGTATAGATTAGTCACTGAATTTTCATTTTTCAGATCGGCACAACACACTTTACTTAAATCCTAGACTCTTGGGAGATTCCACTAAAAAGGTAATAAGAAACAAAATTATTTGCAGGTGTTTAGAAACGACTATAGCTGTCTTGTTATACTTTGGAATGAAGTTTGCTTTGTGCGTCATCCACATGAATGTACTATTTCACTAAGGTATATCAAGCTATGTTAGCCATTGTGAATTTCGAGCTTATCGAAAGAGATTTTTTCTTCAATACCTGTAAATGGAAATCATTCCACTAGCTTGTCATTGATTACCCTATCACCAACTTAGGTGTTTTTAAATTAGTTTACTTATAATCAAGTTTGTATTGTGTTTTAAAAAGCTGGTCTATATTAATTAGGTTTGGAAAGTTAAGTATATAACCGATTTATCACTACTTCTGTGAAAGGTATTACTGGTAAAATGATCTCTTCCACTGTGTTCGTTATCGAAAATTCCTTGGAGCCTTGATAAAATGCGGTCACTCCCATGAATCAATCATGTGTCACACATTCGATGGAGGTTCATAGCTCACTGCATCCTTACACCCATAATAAGAGTCGAACTAAGTGACATTGCGTCCAGAGAGAATAACACCTATCAATTCAGATAAATAGCCTTTATAGGCCGCGTGAGTTCATTTAAAATGCTTGGCTATGTACAATTTACGCCCTTAGTACTGCTTCTTCATATAGGCGATATCACAGCACCTTGAGTCAACAAATACGTCAAACATTGGATATCAGGAACCAAATTTGTTTCCTGAAACTTACCGAAAAGTTATGTGACCAGTGTGGCCTTACAATAGTCTACACCCAGTTTTATGGTTCTTTAACTCCTTGGTTTTTTAATCATGAGACCACTGGTATTTATCAACCAAGCTGATTTGTTTCTAGATATAAAATAATCCAACTTCATTCGTGTATATTAATATACAACGATGCAAACTAGTGTAATGAAACCACCTTAAAATCCATTGATGTGTTAATCCTAAGTCGTCTATCCTATGCAGGTACAGTTCCCTTGTAATTCTAAATAGCTGACCACATCACTGTTATTTCCTTTCATATTTCTATATGTTTACTAATCAGCACTGCTTGCCACCATGTGGAGTTGTGTTTCATCGGTCTAGGCCCTGGACTTCCAACTGAGTGGGTTACAGGTTTGAACGTCGCTGCACGTACGAAGGCTTAGGCAGCTCCCGGGCAGTATATAACTTGTCCTCACACAGTGGTTATAGCGCACTGCTAGCTGCATATAATTGCAAAGGGTTGTTGAATAACATAATCAGGTTGAATTTGCCACCCTTTATAAGACTCAATTCGTTTGTGTGATAGTTTCAGTGTTCATGATGCTCAGAACCAAACTTCTGACATTCTGTCTGAATACAACCGAAGAGATCTAATATCATTCATCAAACGTAAGGTAAAATATTTAGTCATCACATCTTAAAATATCCATTTTTAAATTTTCTATAGTTTGTTTTGTAAGGGTTAGTTTTGTAGCCAGAAGGTCCTGGGTTCGAACTCCAGTGGGTGCGTACTGCCAATGATTCCCAAACTAGGGTGAAACAGCTGTCCAGTACTCTCTGGTTTTCAATGGTTCTCTAGCTTATATCAATCCGTGATCAACTAGTAAAAAATCTATTTTAAAACAAGTTGTATGTGACTCTCAGACATATCTAAGCGCGCATAAGTGGTTCAACTCATGGTCATTTAAGTGATATTTTAAGTTTCACTTTGAATTGTTTTGATTTTAAAGTACAACACAAAAATAAAAAAATCTGCAATGCAATTAATTGTAATGAGTTAACTAAAGAGAAGCGAAGCATATTTTCAATATTGCCTACTACATAATAAGTTCAAAAGTGTACATCTCGTTTAGATTAAGTACAAAAATCATCAAATATTATTACCCGAAAATTGAAAGAATAAATTACAATAATTTTCACTTTAGAAGCATCTAATTATTTTACAAGTCTGTCAAATAATGTATTTTTTATTGTGTACCATTCAGTACACGTAGACCGTAGAACTTAATACATTGATTTACGTCATTTCATAACACTTATACAGTAGAGAAAATGACAAATTCATAAAACTGCTATTTCACGTGTTTCCTACGTATATTTATTTTTATTTGAAATGGATTCTTAGTCTTTACGATTTTAACAGGTTATAAGAGTTTAGCTCTTACTGATGCAAACTCTTGTGATTGTCACATCTGCACATTTCTAATCTGAGGCTAGAAATTGTCAGGGGAGTTGTACTATTACTGCTACTATTATATAAGGTTGTTTACGAAGTAGATTTAAAATACTAATTTTAATTTAGTGCGTCGGTGGTATATAGCGGTTAGGACGCTCGCCGACCATGCACATGGTCTGTGGTTCGATCCCCGGCCACCGACGCACTCCTTTACCTCGCTAAACTAGAAATAATGCTGGTAAAGGGGGAAGTTTGGGGCCTGAGGCTAGCAACCCCATCCTGTAAAAATAAACACCACTGCTACAGAAACTCCAAGCCACTAGTTTGAAGCCAACCTATGTTCCACTGGGGAACATGAAGAAAAATAATTTAACACTACAATAGGCTAAACATCATCTTACAAGGGAATATTTAGTAGAGCTTAGTGATCAGGTTTTTGTGTGTGTATGTGTATGTTGTTGGGAGAGTGACAAGAAATTATGCCTTACAATGTAAACACTATCACAGTTTCCGCAAATATTTTATCTACCAACAAGATACTATGTTGTGTTTTTAATGTATACAACCTCAAAAATGGCCAAGCGTAATGAAGCAGAATCATTCACAAGATTAACTTTCTAAATTATGATATAAAGTACACATCTCATTTGCCAACGATTCTTCTTTTTTTTAAATTTACATTTTTATGTCCTATAGATATTATCTACCAAGCTGAATTCTATGAGTCTCTTCGACATTGAACATCTCGCAGGTCTATGGTCCAGCTCTTCATGAAATGGTCTCAGGAATGCTAATGCACTACTACTGATCTTGGATTCCTTTGTTGTTTTTTCCTTCGTCTTCTTCCATCCATCCATCCAAGCGTTGACGCATTGTACATTAACACTGTGTACATCACATCCAGTTTACATGTGACAATGCGATGTCTGTATAAATCTTGTGATTTTCGTATATATTTTGTGTTTCTTCCCACATAGAATGCTGAAAGTTATCAATATATATATTACTGTATCCAATTAGTAATTAGTCTTTCTTAATTTCTTCTTCTTGTATTCTTGTATTATTTTGTGTGACTTGGAAAGCGAGTATGTGTGTTTTGTGTTTATATATATATATATATATATATATATATATATATATATATATATATATATATATATATACGACTAGGCTTATATTCAACAGGTATCTTGTTTTTATTGTTTATTCATCGCTTTCGATATTCCCTTTCAATACTTAAAAGTAGTGTTAACATGCATTTCTAAGCGTTGATTTTGTTTCATGCACAAAACCTCAGGACATCCACTTTGTTGTAGATCTCGGCTGTCACTTATATATGTGGTCCGACGAAATGAAATGAAGTCTGATTTAATAACATACGCTTAGTTTGTGTTATTGATTGATTCTACTTCGAATAAATGATCTCTGCCTAATATTTCTATTTGTTCGTATGAAAAGTGGTCATCTCAAACCACTGCAAAAAGAGTTTTATTTGAAAAATAAAGTTGAATTGTCATGATCAGTACCTTCTCAGCTGCTGCATACAACCCGAATTATATTGCAATTTTTAAAAAAATACTTTAGTTTACTCGATATACAGTGTGGAACTTATCTCCTTTCTTGTATTATTGGGAAGGGAGACAAGTCTGTCTGTAATAATCACAGGAAGATTAGCTTGACCAATATAGTATCTAAGTTTTAGGCTCGATAATTATGCATAGACTAAGCGGTGCTCGACAGAAACAAACACGAGTGAATCAGACAGGTTTTAGACCAGGAAGAGGGTGTATTGATCATATCTTCACCCGTCGATAGATTCTGGAACATAGGTAAACTTACCGGCGTCCAACAATCGTCGTATTTCTTGACCTGAAACCGGCATTCGATCCCGTCGACCGAAATATCGCTGTGAACGGAATACCGAGAAGATATAATGTACTGATCAAGGCATTCTACTCGAGCTCATGCAGTAAGCCAGTTGAGAGCTCACGACGAGTTGTCATCTGAATTGTTGACAGCTAATGGTGTCCGTTAGAGATACCCACTGTCCCCATTTGTTTAGTTTCATCATACATGTAATAATGGACTTCCTAACTGACTTCAGCGACTCAGGGATTGACCTGTTACCATCAGGGAATAATCTCGTTAACATAGAATATGCAGATGATATAGTCCTCCCTCCTAGATGGAGACGCTGACTGACAAAATACAGAGTCTTCTGAACATCTTGAGGAGCAACAATCTTCGAATGTGTGACATGCAATTCACCCGCTCCTGTCAAATGTAATATGATCAGACTATAGGGCTGGACTATATCGGCAAACTCCTAGCTTAAAGATAGGCAGGAGTGTAGTGGTAGAGCGTGTGGACCACTTCACTCATTTGAGAAGTTGCATCAGCCAGCGCCAACAGATGGATCGCTGACGAAATATCCACGTGGATACAGAGGGCTAGTTCCGCATATGCCAGCTTCCGCCGTCTGTGGCGTAGACGTGATATCCGGGTGGTTATCTAACAAAGGGCAGGTGCACTGATCAGCAGTCCCCTCCGTCCTCCTTTACGCCTGTAAGTGAGACATGGCCATTGAAAGTGGAAGACATGAAAAGCCTGACTAATTGTCTGTAATCATCGGTGCCTGCGTTGTATCTTCCATGTTAAGTGGTATAATAAGGGCATCAATATTGAGGTTAGGCCTTGGTCAAGTGCTAGGTAAGGAGGGGAAATCAACAGACGAGGCTATGGTGTCATATCGACTGAGACGTTTAGGACATGTGTTGCGCATGCCTAGCCGTCTCCTTCCTCTATGGTCACTGTTAGGTGAAATAGGATCGATCAGGTTTGAAAAGAACTAGTGGTGATCAAACCAAAACGTGGCTTCATCAGTCCATGAAATCATTGACAGTCAGTTTAAGCCAGCCACTTGGGGAAGTGTAGACTTCCTGGTTGGGGTTCTCGAGATAGTAAAAACCAATGAAGGCTGGAGGTAATAGATGGTATGGCTCAAAATCGTTATTCTTAATGGCTGGCGCAGATGCGTTCACTCTTTGTGATTTATCATGTCCAATAAAATCCTATTGTTCTTCCATATTACTATTCTTTTTGCTTCATAATTCCGTTTATTATTTCTCTTTTGAATCTCTCTTCTTTTACTTTGTATGTGACAAGGAGGGAAAGTGGCAACTCGAATTGCTATACATCTGTACAGAGTTCTACGTTGAAACCAGTCAATCACAGCGTGGAACAACAATTAAAAATGATCATGACGTATAGATATGTCTATGTGTTAAGTTAATAGGATATTTCTATAATTACATTTGTAATGTGATAGAAGTTTCTTGAATAAAACAGTAAGTGTGGAGCAAGGATATCAACAAAGCATTCAAGTACATAGATTATGAGAATACATAAGTCATTTGAAAATTGCTAAAGCGTGATTGAGATATGAAAAATTGTGATTTAAACTCACTTGATTAGACATCCGACATGTGAGGGTTAATAAAATTACCTGTTGAAGATAAGAGACTTTCAGAAATGTAGCATTGGTAAGTGCAAAGGCTGATGAAGCATAATCCCTAACCTTATTATGTCTTATGCTTGATATCACTTTCACATTTGAGCACTACTCTTTTATTTCAGTGCTCGGACAAAGGTTTATTTGTACTCTGATCATTATCTTTGTAGAGCTTGTTCAGTGATTTCGTGTTCACCGACTCTTTGCTAATCATTTTCCATACGCTTCAGTTAATTTTCTTAAGAGATCTTGATAAATTTGCTATTCAGAATTATTTATCATTATTATTACTATTCTCTTGGATTCTCAGTGGAACATACAGCTTCCTCATCACATTGACGTTTCATTTTGTTTTCTCCTGGCTCCACAACTGCCCATAAAGTTTTGTCTCACCCTCTTCCTTTCCTGATCAGGTTCCAGCTGATTGAGTGCCTACCTTACGATAATACTGGACGGTCCTTTCAGCGTGTGGCCAATCCATCTCTGATAATACGTTGCTAGTTTGTTAGTTCCCAGATTTCCTTGTCGTTTATCTTTTTTTGGCCCTCCGTGTGATCTTCACTGTGCAGCGAACACAGATATCGATAATTGTTTACAGTCGGTCGGAAATGCTTTTTGTGAAGTGCTAAGTTCTTGAACCATATAGAACTTACTTGACTCGAAATTACTGTTAAAAGTTGGAATCCTTTTCTCTAAGATGATGAGTTCCGCGAATTTCCACACTGATTTCGAATTAGTGGAAGTGTGTGTTACTCGTTTGATCTTTCCGTCTACATCCTCATCCGTGATGCTACTTGTAGTTGAGACGATGCTGCTTAGATAACTGAAGGGAGTAAGCTGTGTCAAATTTCTTGCATTAATGTTGATTTGTTGTTGTTGCTGTAGGTAGGTTGGTTAGGTATCTTGATCACCTCTGTCTTCTCTATGTTCGCGTGAAGTCGTATCTCGGCTGAGTGGTACTTCTGCCAACATGTTTGTTTTCACCTGCAGATTTCCGAGTTCGTGAGACATTGGAGATCATCCATCTGAGAAGTCCAGATCTTCTACAGTCTCATTGTTATTCCTTAGGGTTCCGAGTGGAACATAGGGCTTCAACAACACATTTCCACTTTGTTCTATTTTCTGCTGTCCTCTCCACCTGTGTCGACGATTGCCCATAATCTCTCATTTCCTCACACGATATTCTCCACGTCACCGTCACACCAGCGACCCACTTGAGCGATGGCCTGCATTGCGCGCGATGTCATTGAACGGTCTCCTCAATGTATGCCTTATCTATCTATCTTTTTTTGTTCTCAGCCAGTTTTTTGTTACTAATTCTTTTTGGCGGCCGACTGGCCATTTGGTCTCCAGTATGGAGCCAGCAAAGATGACAGTTGTTAATAAAAATCTGTAACTTGCTGGAAATCTCTTCCGTAACACGCTGGCCAAGTTTCTCTCCCGCATAGAAGGACCGACTTCACATTGGCGACTGAAAATGCGAATCTTGTTCCTTATGCTGAGTGTGGAAGATTTCCAACCCGGTTTCAGGTTGATGAAGGCGTGCGTATCTTGCCTTTCCGATTCTGGCTGGCTGGCTTTCACATATTCATCCGTTTCGCCTGTGGTTGAGCCAATCTATTCCTGTCTTCTCGATCTCCACAGTCTGTCGCATGATCAAGTTCACCACGATTAGGAATATCATGGGTGATAGTAGATAGTCATTTCAAAGGCCTTGCCTAGCTTTCCGCTATGAATCACTTCACATGTAACCTCTTCATCTAGTTTTTTTATTACAGCTTGATGCCACACCGTATTTTCAGTACAGGTATGGAGTTTTCAGCATGTGATATCGGTAGCCCAAGTTTTGCAGGCCGACCATAGATATCGGGTGTGCGTCGGCAGGGGATCGAACCCCGGACCATGTGAATGGTTGGCGAGAGTCCTAACCACTGTGCCACCGTTGCACAATGTTCAACGGGATTGATAAAGATTTGTGGCATAGCAATTTCCGAATTACTTTATTGTCGATGCTGACAAAGGCCTTTTCAAAGTCGATGAAACTGAGGTAGGGAGTTGACTGTTATTCTGCTCTGTGTGTTCACTTGTGATGCTTAGTATTGTAAATCGGTAAAACCAGGGGTACCGTTAAGACCAGTACTTGATATGCAAAATTCGCCCTACCATGCTCTAGCTAATATGGTCAGTAAATATTCTCTAACGTTTGCATGATAAGATAGTGAAATATAGCGTCAAAGATGTATTTGAATTCGTAGACAAAATAAAAGATATTAATATCAAGGACAAAACCATGATATCTCTGGATATAACATCGTTATCCACAAATGTACCTCTAATAGAAACAGTTAATTACACATGTGAACAAGTGGACAAGTAGTCGATAAATATTGACATCCCAACGGAAACCTAAAAGAATTGTTATTAAGATGTACCATGAATGTAAACTTTAAATTTGATGGCACGCTTTACAGGCAATTGGACAGGGTGGCTATGGGCTCCCACTAGGTCCTATTCTGGCTGATTTCTTTCTAAGTAAACTAAAAATGGACCTTCGAACAACCTTATCAGTAAGCTCACATTTTATTGCCGATATATAGATGACACCTTCGTCCTTT